AAGAAAATTGGACCTGGTTTTTGCAGATTAATTAACATCAAAAGAGGGTGACACAGCCTTACGTAAGTCTTGGAATAATGATTCTGACAGCAGAGTGAAGGATGAGTTGGGGTCTGGGGAGAGGGATGGAGACACTCATGAGAAGCAATACAAGAGTCTAGGAAAGAATAATGAGGATCCAATCTGGTTGGGGCAATAGGACTTCAAGGAGGATCAAATGGGATTCAAGAATTAAAATAGCCCTCATTTCCAGTTCATATGATCAGAAGGATATTGATGCTTATCGCAACCATGAAGAACATGGACACCACACGTTCCTGGGGAGGGTGCTTGCCAGATGAAGAACCTGGTAATGGCAAGGCTTAGTTTAAGCTCAGTCTCAGATTCACTTGTCTCCAGGACAGCCCACTCTGTTTCTATTTGCCAATTCTATTTTCATCCTGGCGTGAAAATTGCAATTTGAATAGCCCAAGACCTCCACTGGCCACACACTTTTTCATAATATTCTTGAAATGGAAGTCAAAGGTAGGACTGGCAAGAACAACAGAATGACTTACTAATTTGTGGTAAATATTAACTTCACATCATGGTGAAATCATTGCTTTTGCATATTATGATACAAACTGGTTATACATTTCCTTCACACCTCTCTCTGTTCATGCCCCTTCCAGAATATAAAATGTCAGCCTTATTTTCATAGTGTTGTTCACCAGGGTTCCGGAAATTCAAAAAAGGAATATTTTAGCCATCTGCTGTGGCCTTTTCTATTTTTCTTTTTTTTTTTCCCTTTCAGAACATACACGATTAAGTGGCAAGTGAGGTCCTGGGAGAGCCTTTCAACTTGAGATTTCCAAGGATGCCCACCCTGTTCCCATTACATTTTTCTTGGCCTTTGTTTGTTTTTTGGTTTCATTACCCTTTTAATTAATCACAACATTGGGTCAGCCAGACCTATTAACTGCATTTCTCATTTAGACCTTTCAGAGATGCAGTCGCAGATGCAATTTAATTTGTTGACCCATGATCGATAGCAATTAATAGCATCTCTTTAATCTTGTTGAAAGGTCTGTCTCTGGCTTCCAGTAGCTACCATCTCAAGGGAAAGGTATGCACACACACAGGTTATTCAGCTTCTAGGCAGTAGCTGCCCCCAACCACCTACTCTTCTCATGACTTAGTAGCCATTTCGGAAGTCATCATTCTCCAGAGCCTTTTCAATTATCATAAAAAAAGTTCATCTGGACTCTCTTATCTTATTCCTCCACGGCAAGTTCATTATGCAAATGAACTCTGAGAAAAATACTATCAAGGGCTTTTTTAATTCAGAAAAATAGATTTGACTTTTTAAAGTGCATTATGTTAATAAAGTAAAAGCTCAGGTTTCCTGGTTCTTCCCCACGTCGTCTTGTGGCTAACGCAGTCACTGCGATCCAGAGTTCTCCTTTTTATCTGTCACATTAAAGAGTTTATTCAATCACTCAGTAAATAATGTTTCAGCTAGGAAATGAGGCACTGTGGTTAAAACTAAATAAGGCTTTTTTCTTTTCTCCTGCTCTCAAGGAGCTTACAGTTTGATGGGGCAAACCGCAGGAAAAGTCCACAACACCAGAGAGGGGCGTGCTGTGCTCTAGGTATGAACAGGTACACTGGGGATATTTGCAAAAGGTGAGGCATCTTCCTGGAGGTAGCCCGTGCCCTGATGCAGTTTATAAGATGAACTTTCTACTGATGCAGCTCAGACCATGTAACTGCCCCCATTTTGCTAATAAAATCCATCCAAATCAGTGCCTGTTTGCCTGACACCAAACCAAGGACACTGAGGTCACCTTCATATGGTGAAGGAATAACCTAGCTGCCTTGGTGCCATCTGCCCTTTTCTCTGAAGTCTGCTTACTGACCAGTGGAACTCACTGTCCTTTACCCCACTGGGGGTACTCAATACACTGCTTTTTATCAAAACTTGTCCTTGCACCTCAGTAGGAATTTGGGTGATGCCATCCTTCAATGGTATTTACATTTTGGGCTTCATCTATGGACTCATTACTTGGTACCAGGCTCAACTGTGGAATGGGAGCCAGTGGCCCCTGTGAAAGCATCAGAAAGCAAGCAAGAGGTGGACTGTTGAGCAAGAAGCTCTTTCCAAATGTTCAGAAATGACCATCTCAGGATGACCATGTGCTCTGTAATCTCACAAGATAG